GATGATCCTCCCAACGCCTGTACTCGGGTTGTCTCCACATGCGCTCGGTGGGAATAGGGAAGGGCCCATCCTGGACGCCTCATCCCTCGCTTACTCGGAGCATCTTCCCCATGGTGAATTTGCCTTCCCCAACCTCGCATCTTCCTTCTTCGACATCACTCCTCACTGGGGAATGTCAACTTATAATAGCGAAAACTTCAACCCTACTACTGCAACGTCGTCGCACCGCGCTGCCAACGATGAACTTCCTGCTGGACCATCTCGCGCTCGCGCACGCGCACGCGACCCACCATTGAATAGTACGCCGGCTGAAACTCACCTGGAGTTCCCAGAAACGTGTTCGAGTTCCTCGACGAACTCGGATGCTTATATTTGGCTTTCTGGTTTGGCTGGGAGTATGGGATATCGTCTTGTTCCGCTTTGAAGTTACTGTTTCTTTTTTTTCCGGAATGTGATCTCCTAGACTTTTTTTTTTTTACCCTATGGTTCTAGTGTGAGTGTCCTTTTTTCATTTCAGAATATCCAACTGAACGTCGCCGAGATACAGATAGTTCTGCCATCTTATCGTCGTCTGTAGTAACTATTTCCCCGTTTTGGTACATTTCTGTGGTTTTTTATTCCTGAGTGCTTGTACGTCAGACTCGTAATCTTCTTGTACCGCTGTTTTCCCCTTCTCGACTCTCTGTGGCACATGTGCTTGCTATACATCCACTTGGCATCGAGACCGCCGAAATGTTCATTGCCTGCATTTGTCAGTACCTTCTAACGTCCATTCAGTTAAAAACTGTGTCTAATCACATTTCCAAACAACTTTCTACCTACCATACGCAGTCTCTTCCAGATTGTAACATTCGCGCCACTAATGCGCGCGCGCTTGCCTCCTGGCTCCGGCCGAAGCGGCCTGGCCTTCAGACCCCTGAGCAAGATGCCAAATCAGAGAAGCACGTTGACAATCGTTTGACAGCTCTCTTTAACCCCAAATCTACCTAACTGGAAGAGTATGTGCGTGGTTTTAAATAAAACCGTTTTCGATGACCGGTATCATAGCTTCCAGGGCGTGATGGGGTGGTACCCTTTTATTTACGCATATATACTTCCACCCACTACCCACTGAGCTCATTCTGACTTGACGAGGTGACTGGCGGCACGCGACGGCCCGGGGAACCTTTTCCAGAATCGACAAACTTTTCCCACGAACAAGAAACCATGCCTCAGTTCAGAGTACGTGAGCTGGCCGCTTGCACATCGAAGCTATCTACCCTGAAACCCGATCTGGATACCAACCTGTAGCCTGGCCTCAGTGGGCTGTAGCATAGCTTCGGTTATGAGCAGCTCCTCAAGTACAGTGAACCGGCAGTTTTGATGATCCAACAAGACACGACGACGGCCCCGGCCCGCCAGCACGTCAACTGAAACAGCCAGTATGTCCGTGCTGTGCTCACTTTACGGCCGTTGCTAGAATGTTACTATTAGCAAGTCAAACTAATCTGCTGGCTCATCCCTGCGGGAGAGAACGGTTCCGTACCTTTCTCTCAATACAGGCGTTGATCTGCTTTCACCTTCCCCAATCTCATCTTCCACACACATTTTTCCCGTCGAGCTCGACAGTCTTCAGTCCCTACAGCTTTGTCCTCCTCAAATGGCTTGCCTGTGATTCTGGTGCCATCTCACAACCCCAGGTTCAACACACGCGGGTGATTTGCTCCCTTGCTGCTTCATCTCTGGACTTGGCACTCTGGTGTGGAAACGTGGTCTCGCACAACCGGTTTATATAATTCATAGCAGCTCAAGCTGCTTACACGTGCAGGGTCCTTTATAGAAGGTCAATATGGCAATTATAAGTAGAGTGGGGTGCTGTGCTACTAGGCACAACGGGTGCGTTTCGACATCGGCTCCTGTAACACGCTCCCCGACCGCAGTTAATCGGATGCTAGCTGAAGCCTTAGAATACTGTGTATCCTGGACTAGCCCACGTTGGATGATGAGAATCCACGGGGGGTCGAGGACTGGTTCACAGTGTTGGGCATTGATTTCCGCGGGGGCGCCCACACTATCTGGCGGTTGGGATGAATTGGGTGTACTTGAACCGTATCAATTGGCCACAGAGATATGAAAGTGTGATACCGCGCGGCCATGCCAGAAGCTTGCTAACAGGTGGGCGCTTATCGGTGTATGTAAGTCTCGCAAGTCAGCCTCTTGAGATGTCTGGACGACAAGCGATGATAAATAAATTTCGTACGGGTCGCAAGGTAAAGAGCGTACCAGAGCCTGAGCGCTGCGCGCAAGCGCAGCGCACGCGCGGGGATGAAATACATTATTCAACAGACTCAACACATAAGATACGTCTCTGAAGCATGCATGTGTAGCTCAGGATATCGACTAGGAGGTCGCGAGACTCGCATAGAATTCATGATCGTGTAAGCGCTGTACACCTGGGGCGGCTAAGATAAGTTCGTGAAGGCCGCGCGTCAGCACCTATTATATATAGGTCGCATTGCCTAAATCGGTCTAGCGCGAGTAATCCTATGACAATTAGACAAGAAGCCCTTCTCCGGCCTATATGACGTCCGTGTTCTAATTATAATCTCCGGATCAAACTCTGGACTGCACATCCAAGTCGCGAGGAAAGAATTTTTCAAGGATTTGGCGCCAACCTTGGGACCATATGCGATCAGGAGTTATACAGATTTCTGAAGAGTTGTCAAGGCAAGAAACTCGTTTATTCTAGTAACAATGTCGGCGATAGGGCATACATTTGCCACCGCGAGGTCTCAAGTTAACAGCCTGTTGAAGGCCACCCGTCACAGTTGATTCGTGAAAGCTGACCGATTAAAACGAGAATCCCAGCAGAACCCCGCGACAGAGCAGGAAATCTAGCCAGGCAAGACTGCACCCTCAATTAAGTGAAGCTGTCGTGCGTCAATCCAAGGTGAGTAAGCACCGAGGCCGAAACATTTCAACCTACGAGGCACTCCCTGAATGAGGTACTTACCCCCATCTTCGAACTATAGGTACTGGCTCATGTGGTGGACCTATTGCCAAATAAACCCTTTTAATAATAATCTGGATTATGCATATAATGTGACGCACAAAATGGTTTCGGCACCTCTGAATCACACGTTCATGCTATTCAGCTTTTATTGGGAAGGGGACGCTTTGCGCGGGGGACACCGATGCCACCACCCCCTCCCGACCTGCCACGCCACCGCCCAAACTTTGCCCGAGGGGCTGTGTGACTGAAAAGGCGATCCATGCCCATATTTGACGAGTGGTTGTGTCATTGGAAATCGTCGAGGATAGAATGAGGATGATGGAGTGTATAAGCCGCCACGACTACAAAAGTCGTCACTGTCGAGTGGCGTTCGCTAGTCATGATGACCTCAAGCAGCGTCATGCATAACATTACGAAGTCATAGAGCTGGAGTACTGCCGATGCCGAAGAGCACGACTGAATTGAATCCGGAAGTTCTTACCGAATACAATTGTCGTTGTGGGGCATCACCTTCTCTATCCAAATTGCCTCTCCATCATTCACTCCGGAGAGAAACAATCATCACGCGTAAAATTTCAAGCTGCGCAAAGCGCTTAAAAGATACGATTTCAGACAGAAATATTGCCAATTCGTGATTAGAATGGGTTTCTCATTGCCAGGTATGGTTTTTGGCCGATGCACGCCATCTCGCATGGAGTGAGATGACAGTGCTGGCACTGATCATTTTCTTATCATCCTCCCTTCATTCCGCATCATTCAATTCGTTATTTCCATTATCGCCCGGCCCCCACCCATGTACAAGGCATCTTCGTCCCCCATTTCACGCTCACTTCATTCTAATCATCATCTCCAGGACTTATAAGGTATCAGCGTACTCCAACACAATTCGGTATGTCGGACGCTCACCTAGGCAGGATCCCAGCCTCTACTAAAGTAGAACGCTTGCCCATCTGTGAAAATTTGGTAGACACAAACGTTTATATACCAGCCGCCTTTACTCTACGCCACAAATTTCAAGATACGGACTTTCCCTACAAGCACGCACATGGAAGCTAAGTTGCGATGCAGAGGATTCCTTGTGGGGAGTTGGGAATCTAGCGCCAGCAGGACTCGTCCTAGTCCATTTCTATTTTGAACTCAGCAGCACATCTCATGTGCTCAATATCATTGACATCACTTGCATGAATGCTTATCGTTAGGACTGCTGTACTTCGTCTATTCGGTAACAGATGTATCGCCGCATTTATAGAGAATGGGGGACGCTTTGAAGGGGTAGAAGTGGCTAAGGATGAAGTGGCGACGCATAGTATGTAAGTTGGGTGGCGGGCGCCTTGAACTCGTCCCAATGCTTGTGCGCTGCGGGCCTGGACATGATGTTGGACGGCGTTCAATTAGTTGAGGGGTGCTGAGCCAAGGTGTTCGGAGAGTGTTCTTACACCGAAGGGAACATGTCACCAGGGGAGAGGGATGTGCAAGCTGGCATTGTTGGACACGCCTGAGCAATCCGGAGCACGTTGAGTTGATACTGAAGTCCGCGGATCTCTCATCGAACCAGGCACTCCAGATTGTCCCTGACCTGCTTGGAGCTAGATCAGCGGCTGTGTCTGAGCCTGAGCTAAATGCGTCCTCCGTATCTCCCAGCAGCTTCATGTAAGCATCCTGAGCACCAACTATGTTCATAGTTTTGTTCCGATTTACCAGGGTCCGACCCACCGACCCAGTGCGGCCTCGCAGAACACGTCGGATGCAATCGAGTTCACCATCGGCAATATCCTCACCCGCGAGGCACTTCCAACGGAAGATCTCCGTTCGGTGGTTGCGAGGGTTGGTTGCGATCTTGGGTGTCTCAAAGGAATATGATCTTATCAACCATGTCGGCGGCAAGCGGAATCCGCGGGGTCCTCATCGGGTGGCTGGATTCTGGTTTACTTTGCAAGCACTAGCAAAGCGCTAGTAGCGCTCGTGAAAACTCCTGGCTCCAACGTGTGGAAGTTCAGGGTAATCCGATGGACTGCAGAAGAATCAAGGGAATCACTAATCCCTAAAAGAGTCGAGATGAGTAACAGTCAAGGTTTACCAACAAGAGGAGCCCGCCCTGGTCGGGTACAGCTCACTGCACCTAGTGGACGGAGCCGAGCTAGCCTTGCTTCCGAAGCAATATTGGAGACGTACACAATATTGTGAGTGCACGAGGAAACATGTTTAATTGGTTCACTCCCAGAACTCAAGAACAACCGCTTTTGGAGAGCAGGGACAGTGCGATGCTAGCTGATAAGTCGATCGCCTTGAGACCAAGTAAGGAATCGGATGACTAACTAACACAGGTACGAGAGCAAAAAAAAAAATGCGCGAGGTCGCGAGCCTCACAAGCACTCGAGGATCGAACTTATGGCGCGGGACATCCAAACACTGAAGCCATTGGGGATAGAATCGGCTGGCTTTCACCAATAATTCATCGTCACTAAATCATGCAGAGAAAAGAAAGATACTTACGCTCAAACCATTAAATGAAAAGAGCGCCACCATCGGAAATGCTGGCTCCCCGAGGGATGAGGCAGTATCCCATATCCCAAGCCAGATCTCTAAGCAAACTCGCGACGTTGAAGTGTGGATAGAGGGCTGTAGGCCCAACATCTCCATAGTTAACGGCGCTATGCGAGCTGTCTGGCACCGGAGGATTCCGATTCTCGTTGTAGGATACCACCCGATGGTTGGGAGTCGCTGAGTGGAAGGCGTGCGCCAAGCTAGGGAAGATGGTCTTACTAATGGAGAAGCTTGTCCCAGGAGTGGGGATATGGGTGGTATAAGGGGAGCCGACATGCAGTAAGGTGCTTCATCAACAGTTCTGACGAATCCATATGACCCCGACATAGAGGATGGCGCCTCATTGATAACTGGCACGTCTCCGAGATCGTTTGTTGGCAGAACTGCAACAGACATCTCGCAGGCCAAAACAGCATCCATTTGGATTCCCCGTCCGTGAGTTGTGTTTGACAGGTGGCCATTGCGGGGATTCTCGGGTCAGCTACAGGCTGAGTTGCTGCATCTCCGAGGCTCGATTGCTCCGATTTCCAATATGAAATAAACTGTCTTGTGCTATCGAACGAAGAGAAGCGGAACAAGGTATGCATGCAATGTCAACACAACAGAAAATGGGGACCCATCACATACCGGTCTCAACACGCCGAGGACGGATTATGCACGGTCCCATGTTTTATAGTTACGCTCGTGGTATTCAGCACCTTGTACCTCATCCCGAACAAGTTAGGTTTTCGATTGACCAGAACTATAGGTACTGGCCTATGCGGTGAATAGAAAATATGTGATCTAAATTCCGTGGGTGAGTCAACACATTTATTTCGTCACCAAACAGATCCCTTTCATGACTGAAATTAAGAAATGAGACGCACTAAATGACTCTAGATCTAAACCATTCATGCTATTCAGTTTTTTCCAGTTCGCACGAAGCGGACGCATTACGTGGAGAACCTCGTCGCTACCTTTCCTATCCGTGACGTTATCGTCCGAACTTCGCCTGAGGCTAGCGGCAGGGATATGATCAGAAGTTTGAGGATAGGGTGAACCGCTGGGCCTCATGCTTGTTTTCCGCCAAAATTAGACAGTCAGGGCCCAATCAATAAAGCATGAAAATAATCTGCTTACATTCATTCATCCCAGGGCCCACCTTCAGAAACAGATCACTTGGTCTTGTAATACGAAAGGTTCTCCAAAGAAATGACGTGGGTGGCCGGCCACCTTACTGAAAAACCGTTCTACCTGGCCCCTGTCCCGGATCGCGCCCCCATTGGAATTGTTGAGTCTCCGGAGGACAGGGTGGGAGTTATATTACGAAGTCACGGAGGCTGGAGTCCGGGAGTGACGGCTTCATTTAGCATCCTGTGTCTGTGATGGCAGGTGCACGGCCAGGGCTGAATCGAGAGATAGAGATAATCGGCCGTAACTCAATTGCACTTAAGTCATCATGGTCATTCAAGGTGGCGGATGCCGAAGAGCGCGATTAAATTGAACCGCCTGACGGAAAGCATGAGACTCTTTCACCACAAACCCTTATGCAGAACCCCATCTAACCTGCGAAAGCCATAGAGGGTTCCACCAGAATTCGAAATTGAGGGCGGCCTACTCAGAATCCGCGGACTAGCTTTGCGATCATCCAGCTTTGATCCAGCTCCGATGCCAGGATCCCAGCCTCTGCCACACTCTTCCCTCCTCTTGTAACAATTTAATCACCCCCCACCATTCACTCCGACTCTGAACCGAACCAGAAGAAAAGCAATGAATCTTTCTGGCATCAGGCAACAACGAGGTGTAGAAACAAACATCGCCACACATCTAGCGAGAAGAAGAGATCACCGACTCTACACATAGCATGGGGAAGGCAAAACAACACAGAAAACACGAGTCGGAAGACCACTGGTAATATGCAGACCAATCACACACTACGGAGCAAACTGAGTCATAAAACGAACATTCAAAGTGGCGAGGAATCAACTTGCACGTACAGTACATTTCTCAGTCCAGAAGAACCACCGCTGCCCACATCGACTCAGAGAGGAACAAGGAGATACCCTAACCTCTGGGCCAGGCCTCGAAGCCAGTAGACAACATCCTCATTTGAGTTTGTCTCCAACCACCTATCTTGTTGACGATCAGGAGTTTCAAATGCAGCAACGATTGCCTCTGGATCGACTATGCGAGATCTGGAAGGCCCAGCAAGATCCTCCTGGATCACGTTACTGTCCAACACAAGGTTTGAATTCTCGAAATGGAAAGTCATTTCGGGGTTAGGGTTGAATTGGGAGAAGAGCGGCGTCATATTAAGCGGGGTAGGATCAATGGAAGCGGGCCCATCGGGTAGGGTTTGTGTTTGGAGGCCAGGTAGCACTTCTATCTCCACAGGAAATGCGTGGGGAGGCCCATTAACAGCTGATGCGGCGTCGATATAGTTCGCCGAAACGGCTGTAGTAGGCAGTTCACCATTGGGCAAGTCGGTGGGAGCTTGGCTCTCTAGCATATGAGGTGCTTGAAGCAGAGCCGCCACCGGCAAGGCAGCAGTGGGCTGGGTGGGGCCTCCTTCAGCTACGCTTTGACCCATTGAGTCTTCAAGGATTGATTGCAGGTCTAGAAGGAACTTGCGAGTCTTTGGAAGTTGTGCTACATACAGAGACAGAGAAGGGTGATCACGGTGTTGAACGAGGTCTTGAGTGATCATACACACCGATCCATGCACGCCCAGGTTCTGCCAGCCTTTTAACCTCACGTAAACACTCCCGGGCCCTAGCCGATCTCTGTGAATCATTCCTTTTGTTAAGAGAGTCTATCAGCCCAATAGCGGAAGACATACCTTGACCTCACTGGAAATTGTCATCGGGCAAGCAATGCATTCGATCCGCATCCTGTCACATGGAACACAAGATTGGGAATTTGGGGGCTCGGTGCATCCCTAAAAACCGATGTGAGTAAGTATCCCTTCGATGACTGCCACAAAAGGAAGTCACAACTTTGTGACATAGTCACGGTCTGAGCAGTGCGATACGTTTATTACCACCTCCTCAACCTCCAGACAGCCGCAGGCTGTCCAGTGAATGTCATGGTAGGTTACACAAGAAGGGGAAAAAGAAATGGTTGACGGAGGCAATGGAAGTGGTGGAGGCTGCGAGCCCAAGCCAGGCATCTCTGACATAGACACGATGGTCCACACCACAAGGTGAGAGCCAAGAAGTCAGATATCCCCCTGCAGGCATCATTGCACCATTGTCATTCCATGCCGGGCTCTCCAATCGAGTGAAGCCTTGTTGTACTCCAAGGAAAATTTGCACATGCGCAGCGAACCAGTGACAATACCAAGAGTTTGTGGTAGGTGGTTAAATGGTTAATGGAATCTGGGGAAACACACCTTTCTTTTGAGTTGACAGGTAAGACAACGTGAAGGCATCAAGTCTCAAGTTAAGATGATGCTAGAGGGGGTATTTACGATCGGGAGAGAAGATATATATGGAAAAGTTGAAATAAATGAAAGGAATGGTATGTATGGAATAAGCCACCGATGAATATTCCTGACACATGAAATGAGCTTTTTCGCACTTCGCACGATGTACACTCCACATAGTTACCATATTTAGACAAGGATCACATGAGGTGTATACATTTCATTTTCCCACCCTGCACACTTCGCACTTTGCACACTTTGCACACTTAGCCTGCTTGCAAAACCAGGCAGCATCGGCAACGTAAATACCACTGAATTGTTTTGATCACAGGTTGTTCACGGAAATAGACCTTAAACCCGATCATCTGCACGGAGTACTCCTCGGCAATTGCCGAATTTGAGATGAGGCTATGAAGTTGATACCAGGTGTGCGCGAATTTTCACGTTTTATTCATTACTTCAATATAAGTGGTGCATACAAGTGGGTTGTGTTGGAGAACCGTGTGCTATGGGAGCACTAGGATTCGGACTTCTCCGGATCACCAGGGTCTCGAATTCGGCATTTGCCGAAGAGTACTGCCACTCCAGCTGGGGTTCTTCCTCGGTACAGCATTGTGAACGATAGGGGCAGATTCGTAGCCGTTTGCCTAGATAATGTGAGGGGATGGTCGTAGTCGCGTACAATTTTTTGCAGGCCCCGTTAGAGAGAAGTACAAGTTCATCAACAGTTGGCGCTGCAATGCCGTGGCAACCAAGAGCATGTTGTGTCAGGGTGACTTGTTTTGTCTCAACCATCGCCTCCAACTCTTGCCCCTCTACATAATCGGGGGTCATCGGAGTTGTAGTCAACAATTCCCTTGCCGACACGAGGAACATTTGACAATATTGACACGCATCATCTCGTGCCCCTGGTGCAGAGTCCTTATTTCCGGGTGAACCTTGAACTGGGCGGGGCCACTCACTACCATTCATTCTGCCGTTCATCCTTTCCACCATTCACTTTAAGTACAGCCGATTTGATTTCATCGAAAGAGGGTTCTTCCTTCGGCCGCATCATGAAAGGAGTCTCCTTACGCGTAGCGCTGGGGTCTCTGTTTTCATGATATAGGCCACCTAATGAGGGCAGATTTTGGTCGGACTATGGCATGATGTGACCGCACAATGGCACGATGAGACCGCATGATGGCGACTACCTGGCATACACGCGGGGTGATGCCAGGGACAGAGGCCGACATTAAAGGCTATGGCGCATATATTCTTAGCCTCGTAACAGAGATCACTGTACGATAATACATGAGTGGTTATTATAATGAATCGAAATAAAACACCTCTCATCTCAGGCTCGTAACAGAGATCTAGGGAGAGGGAGTCCAAAAATTCCGCCCTCTAAAAGCACGAATGTCAGCATTAGTGGGGCGTCGCTCCGAGGCGTCCGAACAGAGAGAATGAGTCAGGCACTGGACGCACTTCGCCGACGTCGCTCTATCGTGACCCCTACGTTGGGAAATTTTAAGATTCGCACGGTCCAGAGTTACCTCATCTGGCCAATTCAAATTGACAGTTAACCACTTCTTTCAGCGCAAGCTTTGCTTTTCGATCATCCGCCTCCAATGCCGCTGCCACACTTCTTTCTTGCCCTCCGTAGCACCTTGTCTGCGAGTCCGACCTAGAAGACTTTGGGTTCAAGCAGTGCGAGTGTGTTGGAATTTGGAAACAAATATGAACCACTAGAAGCGAGACCTATGCATGGCATGAGACATGGCATGAGAAGGGAAAACTTGAAACAAACCTGAGCATTCAAAGCGGGTTAGGCGAGGAACCAACTTACACGTACGGTATATTCCCCAATTCAGAAGGACTACCACATCGACTCAAAGAGAGCGATATCCCTCTGAGCCAGGCCTCGAAGCCAATAGACAACATCCTCATTTGAGTTCATCTTTAACCAATTCTCCTGTCTGCCTGGACGATCAGGGATTTCGAGTGCAGCAACGTTCGGCACTGGAACGACGATGCGAGCTGCTCAGGGATCGCGGCATGATGGAATGAGACCAACGAGATAGGGCCCAAATCCCCGAAACGTTCGGTGATTAAAGGTGAATTGAAAGAAGGGCGGCATGATGTCGGGTCAAGGGAAGCAGGTCCTTCTCCTGAATCTTGGATAGGATGGAATAGGGTTTGAGTTCAGCGATTCCTCATTGAGGTTGCCTTCATGCGCGGATGGCCCCGTCGGAAATGAGTAGGGAGGCCCATTAACAGCTGAGGCGAGGCCAAAATAGTTCGCTGGAAAGACCACGACAGATGGCGAGACGACGGGCAGGGTAGTGGGCGCTTGGTTATCAGGCGCACGGAGTGAAGAAATTGTCGTCGGCAACGCGGTAGTGGGCCCGGTAAAGTTTCCTTCCTCAGCTGCGCTTTGACTCGTCAAATCTTCCAGGATCGGTTACAAGTCTAGAGAACTTGGGAGTCGTTGAGAGACGGGCTACACACAAGGGCAGAGAAGCATGGCCACGGTGCCTAACGAGGTCTTGAGGAGTTATTGTCAATCACGCACCGATCCCGGCACGCCCGCCGTTTTTACTTTAACAGACCGTTCCTCATTGAGATGTGGTAAGTAAGTGGGCTCTTTAGCTAAAATCGGAACCACTAAGCGGTCAAGAAAAAAAGAAGGCGACTGACTACGTCCTGCGGGACGTTTTTTGGCGATGTTCCCTTGCCAGGCTCGGTGCACTTGGAGAGATGTGGTCTGTGTGCGGATCCAGGCTGTTTATAAGTACGTGTGCATTCCTTACTACACCAGAGTAGAAGCAATCGAAACGCTATGCTTCAATGCAAAATCAGCACCTATGATTGCGTGTCCCTACTGCAGTTTGCCAAACAACAGCTATAGCTGTGACGTTGGATTGTCATAGCCCACGAGAGGGAAGTGGAAATTGATGCAAGTGTTGGACGGTGATCTCCGAGTCCACGGGAGCGGGAATGGGCACATTGTTTGGTGGCTAGGGTTGTGTTTGGACTGTAAATCGGCCACAGGGAATTTGAAGATGAGGTACCGTGCGGCCATGGCAGAAGGCCGCAACGAGCCGGTTACCTGTGCACCTAATCCTCACAAATCAGCTTCTTGAGATGTCTAGCGGGCAGGGGACAATACATTGATCCATGGGGTAAAAAGTGTACTATGAGCCTGAGCGCTGCATGCGTGCAGAGAACAACGCGCGCGCGCGCATGAACGAACCATTCAAATCTGAGCTGATAAAGTGCTCACATATTGTGTATATGTAGTTCAACATATCGATGTTACCATGGACTCCGTGATCATGTTGGCACTCCCGCGCGGGCGGCTGGGTGAGTTGATCAGGTACGTGAGATTGTGTCAGGTTGCAGCCGAGCAATTTGAATGCCGCGCGTCAGCACTTACATACTATGGCTCTAAGTGTGCTTGATTGCCTAAATTAATCTAGTAAGATGACGTAACCCCGCTGAACAGTCTTATGATCAGAAGTTCAGGGTTGGTTGCCATGGGCGTTCTCGTCTATGAATAAAACATTATGGACGGTGCTTCCAAGCGAATATGCGATGGAGAGATTTTCTTGCGGACAGTCCAGAATCTAGCGCGCAAGTTGGACAAGCCAACCTCTGACATCCTGTCAGCCAGGTTAAGTGCGTTTTCATTTTCCAGGGGGCAGCACACCATGAACCCACGGCATCCGTCGACAAAAATTCCCATCGATTCCACCAAGATGGTATAAATGATACACCAAGACCCGACCAGGGAATCAGTTTGAGAGGATGTCGGGGGCGTGAGATTCGGAATGGTAAGCAAATGCCCCAGTGTCAAAGAAAGAGTACAAATCGGATTGAGATGAGAAGCGAGCGGAGGTCAAGAGGAGCCCAGAAGATGTGACGGTAAAGCGAATGGGCCCCTGGAGGTGTAAGAAAGATACACGTCCGCCGCTAAATAGTTACGGAACGGAAACAACCCGGCGAAGTAGAGCACAGAAAAATGGACCTGACAGAAATATTGTTGGCTGGACATCGCCGGATCTAATTCGTATTAGGCGCTATGAGCGCTCATTTACTATGTCCTGTTGCCGAGATAAGGAAAGCAACAAATAAAGTAGTCGCGGGTGACAGCAAGCGAAAACAGAGGAATCCATCAAGCGGCGAGGGAACTATATAAAGATCATATTCAATGGGCAAGACGCCAATATACATCCTGGCTTAATGACCTTGACGCTTAACGAGCATCCTTCAACATCAACAATAGCACTACCAAACCAATCGTCTCAGGTAGCAAGCCTGGGATCTAATGGACGACGCGAAACTGATGCATCCCGAACTTGCCATGAGCGTACGACTCACGGGATGCGAGCGCAAGGCTATACGGTGCGGCTGAGGGGCACACCCATCACACTGGTTGCGGAACGAGGCAACATGGGTATCGGGGACCGTCCAAGTACGCGTTGTGCGCGTCGGATACGGCCAAGTTCTGATCGCGTAGTCGCACGCGCAAACCATCACCGACATCTAGTGTTTCCCTTATCAAACCGCATCACAAGAATAGTAGCTCGGTGCGAAGTTAGCTAATAAGCACTCTGACAGCCTCAGGAACAAGCAATGAGACGACTTTATTAGCAGACACAAGCGGGAGAAATCGTAAGCAGAAACGATACACAGCATCACGTGTGCATAAGAACTCGAAGATCCAATGATGAAACGCAGAATGTCCAGCCCCAAAGTTCTCAATGACGACACAAGGGAGCACACAGATACGATCTCCTGGCTTATAGTGAGGGTTTGTCATCGCTGGGCCAACTAAGAACATGCAAGGCGCTTGCATACAGATTACCGTTGAACGAAATACCTGTGCAAGAGGACCATCATCAAAAACTCCCTGAGGGATGAGGCAGTATTCCGTCCTCCAAGCCAGACCTCTAAGCCAACCAATGGCATCCTCGTTCCAATTCGCAAGATTGCCTAGTGTTTCACAGCAGGTTCCCAGTGAAAAAGCATCCACTTGTAGACATAGTGTGTTAAAAGAACCAGCAGCCCCATAGTTAACAGTACCAGGTGAACCGCCTGACATCGCAAGGTTGGCTGCAGGACACCGTCTCCTAGTTTGCGTTAGCTGTCATTCGCTGGAGGGGCAGTGGCAGGAGAGGTGACTCTGGGATTCGAGGAATGGGAGGGAATTACTTCAGAATTAAGCGAGGAGAAATAGGAAGTAGTCTATTGGATGTAAAGCCCAAAGCATTACGCGCGTTTCTCAACACGTTCGGGGTTGCTGGGCGCTAGTGCCCTGGTCCCTTGTAGAAACTCCTAAGTGCTGGCCAACTCCTGTACCCAGATCTTTGTTGATGAGGCGGTGTTGCAGTACGATAGACCTGCCTCCTATTGGTTGATGCAATCTCCTAGAGAACTGCTGTGGCCATATGGTGTAGTGGTTAACACCTCCAAATATATGTTGGATGGACCTGGGTTCGAATCCTGGTGTGGCCACCCCATCAGCAAAAAATTGTTATGCTCCTGAGTGCTCTGGAGTATCGAGAGCACTGGGAGAATCAGGAGATTGGCCGGTCCAGGAACAGCCCATTTCCTCCGGAGTTGGCTAGGTACTCCAGGGCACTCCCAGGAGGGCCTGGAGCATTGCTTTGTGCACAAACATATCCAGTAAATACAATTTAAATGCTTCAAAGTGTATAGGGGTGAGAAGCTTCTGGGAGCTCCTGGAGCATTTGAAAATGAAAAGGAAAAAAAAAGAGGGAAGATCCCCCATGAATACCTCCTACCACAAGACTAACACAACAAGACACTGCTTAACATTTAGATCAAACACTATACTATATATCAAGGACACTGAGACTCACCAATACACAATCAAAATTTATGGCCTGATATATGATTAATCTGGCAACTTAATCACTTTCGGGCTGGCAGAATATGGGGGAGGGGGAAATGGGGGAGAATGAGGGGGGAAATGAGGGGGGGAATGAGGGGGGGAATGAGGGGGGGAATGAGGGGGGGATATAGAGGGAAATGAGGAAAATTTGAAAAATAGGGACTTCTAAAAAGTTGAAAAAAATAATTGGGGAAAAAATCAAAAAAATTCAGGAACTGTAGTGCCTTTGAAGTGCTTTCAGGATATATAATTATTTGCAAAATCGAGGAAGAAATGATGGAGAAAAATGGAAAATACTTTCGGAGACCCGAGAAATAATGAGAACTGAATTGATGGGAAAGTCTGAAAATTGAATAGGGAAGTGAGGGGAAGCCTTGTAGCATTGTTATTTTCTGCTGTTCTAATTTTTCCTGATTGTTCTTGGTCTCACTCCCAGCTGCTACTGGATACTCCTGGAAGCTCCTGGGAGGGTCCAGGAGCAGCTAATGGAAAATACTTTTGGAGACCCGAGAAATAATGAGAACTGAATTGATGGGAAAGTCTGAAAATTGAATAGGAAAGTGAGGGGAAGCCTTGTAAGCATTGTTATTTTCTGCTGTTCTGATTTTTCCCGATTCTTCTTGGTCTCATTCCCAGCTGCTCCTCAATACTCCAGGAAGCTCCTGAAAGCTCCTGGGAGGGTCCAGGAGCAGCTGGGAGTGAGACCAAGAACAATCAGGAAAAATCAGAACAGCAGAAAATAACAATGCTTACAAGGCTTCCCCTCACTTTCCTATTCAATTTTCAGACTTTCCCATCAATTCAGTTCTCATTATTTCTTGGGTCTCCAAAAGTATTTTCCATTAGCTGCTCCTGGACCCTCCCAGGAGCTTCCAGGA